TATCCAATAGCATCGTCGAGTCATTTCGTTTTTTCCTCCATGTCTGTTATATTGTGTCTGCAAACACTAGCTCAAAACTAGCTCAAACGCTAGCTTGAAATGTTGAAAGGGAAGGGGCCGATCTAATATCCCTCAGTAGGGTGTTCCATAACCAAGGGGGCACCACTGAGAAGGCCCTCCACCAGACATACTTGTGATGAAGCCGGGATTGAGAGTAGGGTCTCATCCAGAGGATCTTGAAGTGCGTTTGGACAGGTAAATTGGGCCCAATGGCTCCTGGAATATACTTTTGGATTGTCTGATTCGAATTAACTGTTTTAAGACTGATTTGTTTTAATTATTGGTTTTAATGTATATGTTGTGTTATCTTGTGTATGTATGTGGCATCAAATTGTGCCTGTTTTGTGAGCCGCCCTGAGTCCGTTTCGGGAAGAGAAGGACAGGGTATAAATGCAGTAAATAAATAATAATAAATATGTCCCCCACTTTCTCTCTTACCTCTAGTTCTGATTCACTTGGAAAAGAATTCTAGCAATTTCAAACGATTTTCCACCTCTCTAGACCTCTTTAGTTAGTCCCAATAATGCCATCTGGCTATTTTAGATGGGTGATTTAATTTATAACGATCGACTGGAATAGCCATTCTTCCACAGAGCAATGGGTCAACAAGGCTGGGAATCAAAAAGGAAACGTAACCATCATCTTACAATTAGATCTTCCTTCCTCCTTCTATTCCTCTTTGTCCCCTTCCATATACAGCTAAATAAAATCCCACGTTTTCTGCTTTGAACTGGAATATATGACAGTGTGGACTCAGACAACCAGGTTCAAAGCAGATATCATGGGATTTTCTGCCTTGATATTCTAGGCTATATGGTTGTGTGGAAGAGCTCTTTCTATCGCTCCCTTCTTTCCTTCCTTCCATCTCTATACAGTGCTAGCACCCCCTTCTTCAGTCCTTCCCTTTCCAAAACAATCGGAAACTATTCCTACTTGATTTCTAAAACCATTAAAAAGTAACAACAACCCAAGAGTCATCCAAAGGAGTCTCAGGCATGCAATACTCTCCAAGTACTTGCTAGCAATTTACAGCATCACAATATACTCATCAGCGACACTGTGCTAATCAAACAATAAAGCCCTTTTCATTAGATGACTACCTCCGCCAGAGTAACGCGCTATTAAGTGCCCATGTTTAATTAGAACAGTAATTGATGAGACCTCACTCCAAATGAACGTAGGTGTGTGTATATGTCAATATCATTTGTCTTAACTTGGGAAGCTAGTGCTCTCTTCTTAGGTGCACGCCCGCCATGCGGCGAGAGGTGGAACAATATATCACAACCATGGCTGTCAACCTGTAATTTCTGGAGCACTTTTTAGTTGAATAACAGAAGCTTTCCAAGGTCTTAGATGAGCACTTGCCCAGTCCTCTTAATTGGCAATATGCTAATAATATAATATATTGTATATACATATATTTATAATATAATGCACTACAATATAATACTACTAATAATAATACCATATTATGATATTATGACAGCCATGTAATTTTCCAGCTCTGCCTCATCTATAAAAGTAACTTTTTTTATCGTGTCAGGAGCAACTTGAGAAACTGCAAGTCGCTTCTGGTATGAGAGAACTGGCTGTCTGCAAGGACGTTGCCCAGAGGACGCCCGGATGATTTGATGTTTTTATCATCCTTGTGGGAGGGTTCTCTCATGTCCCCGCATGAGGAGCTGGAGCTGATAGAGGGAGCTCATCCGCCTCTCCCTGGATTCAAACCTGCGACCTGCCGGCACAGGGGTTTAACCCACTGCGCCACATAAAAGTAACTAAAAGTCACAGTAACACTGGGAAAGAAGTACTAAGGTGCAATCATAACATTATATTTTTGTATAATTAGAATTTTATTAATTTTTATATAGATTACAACGAAAGAGTGAGAACAATAAAGTATAGGAAAGTGAGGAAATGAAGAAAAAAAGAGAAAAAAGAAGAAACAAAAAAGTATACTAAAATCCCAAATAACCCCTAAAAAAAAAATCTACAAAAATACACAAAAAACACAAAAAAAGAAAAACAAAAAAAAATGACTTCCATTCCATCTTCTTGGATCATATCTTCTTATTATTCAAAAATATAAAATAAGTTCAAAAAGAAATTGTCTCTCTTGTTTCTTATTTTCCCAAATTGTCCAGATATTCATGGAGATTATCCCAATTCGTTCTTCTTAGTATCATACCTGTATTTTTCTTCAACAAAAAAGTCAATTCATCCATGTCCTTTATTTCTCTGATTTTTTCCACCCATTCCTGTATGGGTGGGACTGAGTCTTTCTTCCATTCTCTAGCAAAAACAATTCTAGCGGCAGTCGTCATATATGTAAAAAGTTTATCCTCTTGTTCCGTCAGTTGTAGATCTAAATCTGTAAAACCTAACAAATAATACTCCGGTTTTCTTATATTTTTGAAATAATTATATTTCTGGGTTGTTGTAGGTTTTTTCGGGCAATATGGCCATGTCCTAGAAGCATTCTCTCCTGACGTTTCGCTTGCATCTATGGCAAGCATCCTCACCTCACTACCTCTGAGGATGCTTGCCATAGATGCAGATGAAACGTCAGGAGAGAATGCCTCTAGAACATGGCCATATAGCCTGAAAAAGCCTACAAAAACCCAGTGATCCTGGCCCTGAAAGCCTTCAACAATTCTATTTCTAATCTGGGTAGAAAATAATTAATTACAAGTAACTTGTTAGTTGAAGCCAGTTACTTCCTAGCTCTGGCCCAGTGGCTGTGAGAGCCAAATATGTGTGAAAGAAATGCATTGTTGAACTCCACAGAGTGACTGAACTATTTCTGATGGAATGTGGCCAAACTCCTTAACATACATACAACCTGCAGGCATTGCTTTTTTTCAGTTGCTTTGGGACCTCTCTCGTTCGCTCGGCTAGGAAGAAGATAAAATATTTATACAATGATTACAGATAATCTGACAACGAATGAGAACGGCTATGCCCACCTTATTTTTATTTTGATGATTCAGCGCTCTTTCATTTTCTCCCCTGTTTCTTTTTTTAAATGTCACCATGACTCTGTTAGAAAAGGGGAAAACATAAAAATAAAAAAGGGTTGGGAAGACCTAACAGAGGTTCCATTAAATGAGGGAGTAATAAACAAACACAGCCAATTTATGCACCAGAGTCATTAAATGTGGATTCTTAACCCACCCTCCCTTTTCTGCACAGATAGTACTTCGGTCTGCTACGATTGATCCTCCGGGAGCCGTTGCCTTAATTATGAAATGAAACACCTCTGCTAATGTTGCCTTGGAACCTTGTTAGTTTATACCCCAACCATGTGGCTTATCAATGAGCTCGGAGCACTGGTTTCCAATCCTATGCCTTTGGCAGTCCGTCTCTTCGTTCCCATATTAGCTGGAATACCCTTTCCTTCTCTCCCTCCCTATCTGTTTATCTTTTCTCTTCCTCCTTCTACATTTTCTCTCCTTCCTCCTCTTCCTCTGGAGCAGTGGGAGAAAAGCAAAGTCCTCTTCAATCCAACTCAGCGCATGATTACTAAAGCAGTCCTATATGGGCGGCGTTTGGTTTTGGAAAGCGTTTTCCGAGCGGGTGACCTGCCCTTCCATCAATGGGCCTCACACTTTTGCTCTGATGAGCCTTGCAGGAAAAATTAAAGAAGATGTAAACAGTAAATGCAGACATTTTGCAACATAGCTAAAAATAAATGGCACTACAGGCAATTATGCAAGTTTTACTGGATACATTAAAAAGACATTAAATGCACAGCTGTTTTAAGTGTCTTTTAAGCTGATAAATTAACTGTCTAATAAATTGTAAGATTTGTCAGCTAATAATGCTATTTTATCTGTTTTAACATATGCCTTCCTAGTTCATGAAGCATTATTGTAAGTGCCAAAAGGAGATAATGTGCATTTTACAGTGTTATGTCTTAAGTGGAATGGATCATTGGCCATGAAGAAGTGTGTTAATAAATCTCCCAGGCTTTGTTAATTGCACTCAATGAAGTGTCACTGTTAAAACACAAAAGATGTGATAGAGAAAGCCGAACATAATGTCTTTCAGTTTTACAATTAACAGTTCACTAGGCAAATCGACCAAAAAGACCATAATTTGTTGAAGCCTTATTAACTTACATTTTCCTAGTCAAGGTCATAATTGTGAATGGCTTAGAGCTATCTTTTTAAATGCTCATCAAGAAGGGTAACCTTGCCGGAGTGGGTGAACTTTTCGGGCTTCGGCTAGTGCTTATCCTGAGCCTAACAGCTCTCGGGCAAACAAACCTGAACTCCTGTCACTTGGCAGCCTCTCCAAGTCATCCCAAAAGCCACCGGAGAAGCTGGAGAGCTTTTACAGGAAGGGATGGACTGAAATCATAATTTATGCTTCTGCTGCCGCTGTGGGAAGCAGATTCCTCTCTTTGTTCTATGCAACAGGTTCTGAGCTCTGGGATCTTTGTATATGTTGCACTCTAAGCTTGAGACACCTTTTTTTCATGTCCGGAGCACCTTGAGAAACTGCAACTCTCACACCAGAAGTGATTTAAAGAGGGTATTTTTATTTTATTGATAAAAACACAATGGGAACACAACAGTGGTTTTCTCTTCTCTAACTTTTCTGTTTCTCTTTATTGAAACCATAACATCAATTTTTGTTTTGGGAAGTTGCTTTTGCTGGCAACAGCCTGGACAAAGTTTGTATAAACAAAATGAAATATTGCAACGGAATAAAGGCTGAGCTACCCATCATACCAATAAAAATAGTGGAGTGACACCCCGAACTTTAATTATACCATGTTAGAACAACTCTTGCAAAAAAGGGAACAATATATCCTTGAACAGAACTTTTAGTAATAGTCTTTTAGTTCACATACCTCTACAAAGACATCCCAGATTTATTTCATTTTAATTCATCAGAATTTGGAGAAATCAAAGTGAGAAAAATGTGACTTATTAAGATGATACATTGCATTGCCTTGTTTGTCACACAAAATTCTTGGCAATGGCCAATATCTTCGAGAAGTCTTGCTGTTTCCAAAGAAAAGAGGGTAATAGTGTTTTAATCCTTGTCTGAACTGGATTCCCGTTGTCTTCAATAAGCACTACATTTTTTGAATCAAACCTGAGGTTCATGCGAGGACCGGGCATCTTGTGACCAACAATTAAGGCTTTTTTCTTTTCCCCTTTGATAGTTAGCAGGATTTTGTCACCTACTTTGCCCACTCCATTTTTGTTGTAGACATGGATGCATTATGGAGGCCGATGTTAGAGTGTGTTTCCAAAAGCACTGTTATCCACCACTTGGATGCGGGTCATCTTCTGTATGGCACCACAGAGTCTGCTGAGGCTGAAATTTCTTCAATTTGTTGCTCTACATAATTCTGGTAGGAATAATCCCAGGGATCTTTTCAATAAAGCCATTGGGTTTCAGGGAGGAAATCCAGTTCCGCCGCCCCAAATGCTCCCCCAAAACTGTGCAGGCACCATTTGCGTGGACAAAGAAAGGAAACCCAGAAGCAACTTGAAGTTTCTCAAGTTGCTCCTGACATGAAAAACAAAACAAGAGTACCACATCAGAGTCCAGTAGTACTAACTACAGAAGTTTATTAAGAAAAGCATGTACAAAGAGAAAAAGGGCATTTCCCAAAAGTGCAGTAGAGAAGGAAATACAAAATCACAGCAATCCATATGCAAAATAGCAGCAATCAAAAAGAGAGAGAGAGAGAGAGCAAAGTACATGAAGTCACGAAAACCAAAATCTCAGGCATAAATACATAAGCATCAAAGCAGGAACTTTTTCCAAGGCAAAGCTTCCCAGGAACATAGGTAAACATAGGAAACTTAAATCATGAACTTGAGAGCTGAGACAGGAAAGCCATCCTTATGGCAATGTTGTCTCCTCAGAGAGGCATCAAGTAAACACCATTTAATTTAAGCCCAAACCTGGCCAAAACTTCATGAGATCATGCTGAACGCACCTGGGCTTCAAGGTCTTCTCACAGAGTCTCAGAATGCCTACGGTATATGATTTCTGGATCATGGGATTTTAATGTTTATACTAGGATGATTTTATGCTTGTCTGAATGTTTAAATTTTATGTATGTCAGCGCTCCATGCAGTCATGCCGGCCACATGACCTTGGAGGTGTCTATGGACAACGCCGGCTCTTCGGCTTAGAAATGGAGATGAGCACCACACCCCAGAGTCAGACATGACTGGACTACCTTTACCTTTACCATGTTTAATGGTTTTTAATTGATTTTAAGTTTAATTATTTTAACTGTTTTTACATAGTTATATGTAGTAATTAGTTATTATGATTTTTTCATGTACTGTATGTTGCCGTTTTGCCATTTGTACGTTGTAAATCGCCTTGAGTCCCCCCAGGGGTGAGAAAGGCAGTATATAAATACAGTAAATAAATAACGTCTAATTAATTTATCTTTCACTCCCTCCATCCTCAAACCTAATCTGGCTTCAAGGGAAAACTCCACATCGGCTGAAGGTAATTTCACAAAGGAACTGAAATCTTCACTTTCTGCTGCTTGGAAATGAGCACAGGAATCCCAGTTAGAGGCCTCTTTGGCCTGCAATTCTCTCTGATCACTAGCAGACTTTTCACTTTGAAACCCATCAATTCTCTCATCCTCGGAAACATCAAAAAAATCCCCAGCCGCTTGCTGAGCCACAACAGTATACAAATAGGATGAAATTGGGACTTTGATAAAAGAGGAAGATATAATCCAGATTCTGCATCACAACAGCAACCCAAGCAACTCTTATGACCGCTTCGAAACAGTACCAGTTGATCTAAGATTATAACCGTCCCTACTATTGTATCTCATACTCTTTTAGGGATTTTGTCCTACCTTGCATAACCACCCTATATATAGCCCATGTATTTATGTATTTGTTGCTTACTAAATCAACCTCAGTTTAGGGTAACCCCACCAAGGCCCTGTAAAGCTTGTTTAAGAAATCTATCTGTAATGTGGTTTTCCATTGCTACTTTTCATTTTACTGAATGGCCAACTTTATCAATGAATCATTATGTCTCATGGTATGCCTGAAGGATAACTTCAGTTGAGTACCATTTAAATAATAATAACAACAATAACAACAATAATGATAAGGCAATTGTTACCAACCTCTCTTTGCAACTTGAGGTGGGGGTAAAACAGGGTTTGTTCGTTTTTTTAGTGTCAGGAGCGACTTGAGAAACTGCAAGTCACTTCTGGTGTGAGAGAATTGGCAGTCTGCAAGGACGTTGCCCAGGGGACACCCGGATGTTTTGATGTGTTATCATCCTTGTGGGAGGCTTCTCTCATGTCTCCACACGGGGAGCTGGAGCTAACAGAGGGAGCTCATCCACACTCTCCCTGGATTTGAACCTGCAACCTGTCAGTCTTCAGTTCTGCTGGCACAAGGGTTTAACCCACTGCGCCAATGGGTTAAACATGGTTAAAACAGATAAACACATTTTAGTTGCTATAAGTCCCACTTTGGGAGAAAGGTAAAAGTAATGTTTTCCCCTTGATATTAAGTCTAGTTGAGTCCAACTGTGTGGGGTGATGCTCATCTCCATTTCTAAGCTGAAGAGCTGGCATTGTCCATAGACGCTTCCAAGGTCATGTGGCCAGCATGACTGCATGGAGTGCTGTTACCTTCCCACTGAAGCTGTACCTATTGATCTATGTGAAAAGATGAGTTAGAGAAAGGGCAATGTAATGTACAAGAGAGAACGAACTATACATGCTTTGTTTCTTTTCAACCATTGGATCTATTAGGTGGAAGAAGAAACTTCCAAGATGGTCCCTTGTTATTATATCTCTTCAGCCTCACTTTTAAATGAATATTTGCCCTCCTCCTATAATAATGCAGAGTATGCCTTTGACTTCATCTGAGACTGTATATTTTTAAACAATTGATATAAGTGGGTAATCAATCAGATATTACATTGCCATATATGCCTTTATATGAATGCATAGGCATCCATGTATGTTGGTGCAACAATTCCTAACTGGGTTTAATTTGTCACAACTTCTCAGATAATTTGCAACCTGCAAAAAACAACTTTAAATAGAGTAAGAAAATGGTTAGCATGTAATGCAAGTATTTAGTATGCAAAACATACACATAAAATATTATGTGGTGATTCTTTATTATTTCATGGGGAAAGAGAGAGTAAAATTAGCAAGATTTCATATATCACGGACTCCGGAGAGAGAGCATCCAGAAGAAGTATGATATAGGGCCCTTCCACACAGCCATATAAGTCAGAATACCAAGGCAGAAAAATCCACAATATCTGCTTCGAACTGGGTTATTTGAGTCCACACTGCCAAAGCGGAAAATGTGGGGTTTTGCTCAACTGTCTGGAAGGGGCCATAGGCGTCATCTTCCCCTTTTCCAGCTCCTAGGTTCCTCTCTGGAGTTGACGCCGTGAACCAAAGCACTGGTTTCTAGGGTCAGTCCATCGGTCTCAAATTTACTGGCCCTCATCAGTTTGACTTTAATCAAAAATAAATAAACCTTCCAGTAACTACATTTGCTAGAAATCATAATAAAGACACATAATCCTGCTGATCTAACATCAAGCATTTGCACCATTAACAAAGCAGTCACTCTTTTTTCCCCAGCCATCGTGCACCACTTGAATGCATGAAAAGGCAACGTTTCGGCTGTTTCTCATCAGTTTTTATTATACTGGACATGTAGCAGCAAGCTACTTTTTCAGATCATTCAGAGCTGAAGGAAAGGGGAAAAAATCATATTACTGATGAATTACCGGTACAAGCATTTGGCTAAAATAACACAGAGAGTGCAGGATGTGGTAGCCATTGAGTATAGATGTTTGAAGAAGAAGGAGGAGGAGGAGGAGGAAGAGAAAGAAGAAGAGGAGGAGGAGGAGAAAGAGAAAGAAGAAGAAAGAGGAGGAGGAGGAGGAGGAAGAGAAAGAAGATGAGGAGGAGGAAGAGGAAGAAGAGAAAGAAGAAGAGGAGGAGGAGGAAGAGGATGAAGAGAAAGAAGAAGAGGAGGAGGAGGAAGAAGAGAAAGAAGAAGAAGAGGAGGAGGAYGAGGAWGAGAAAGAAGAAGAAGAYGAGGAGGAGGAGGAGGAAGAGAAAGAAGAAGAAGAGGAGGAGGAGGAYGAKYAGAAYGAYGAYGAYGAAGAAGWAGAAGAYGWYGAYGAGGAGGAGGAGGAGGAGGAGAAAATGTTCTTTCAGTCTAGAACTCCATAAGTGAATCTCTGGAGCTTCTGAACTGAAGAGATAAAATAAAATCCAACACAGATTTTAAGACTCCTTGTGTCAAAGTTGACCTTGAAACCCCCCTTTCCCCTCTCACAAAAGAGGAAGAGACACAGAAAGTGAACAGAAACAATTTGTTCGGAAATGTCCCTGTGTGTGTGTGTYTYRYCACACACACACACCTCCAAGTCATTTGTTTACTTATGGGMTTTTTTTTGTCGTGTCAGAAGCGACTTGAGAAACTGCAAATCGCTTCTGGTATGAGAGAATTGCTGTCTGCAAGGATGTTGCCCAGGGGACGCCTGGATGTTTTTGATGTGTTACCATTCTTGTGGGAGGCTTCTCTCATGTCCTCYCATGAGGAGCTGGAGCTGATAGAGGGAGCTCATCTGCGCTCTCCCCGGATTCGAACCTGCGACCAGTCCTGCCGGCACAGGGGTTTAACCTGCTGCACCACCGGGGGCTCATTATGACTTATGGTAGCCCCATGAATTTCTAACTTGAATAAACTAAAGGGATCAGATCCCGTCTGATCTTGGAAGCTAAGAAGGGTCAGTTCTGGTTAGTACTGGACAGGAAACTATCAATGAATGCCAAGTGCTGTGGGCTATATTTCAGAAAAAGGACCTAGAAAAAAAAAACAACTCCTGAATATTCTTTGCCTAAGAAAGCCCTATAAAATTCATCATAGCTTGACAAGCAACTGGAAGGCATGTATATACATACATATATGTGAGTTTTATAGAGTTTTGTCAAACTACAAGTGTGCTGTCACGCACTGGGCCTGTGAAAGAGTCTGTAGACAGGATGTGTTTTCTGAATGCCCAACGGGACACCAGGGGTGCCTCGGCTGAGAGGCCTTTCGGATTTCCCCACACAAAGTTCTTTTAAAGAAAGTTCAACAACGTTTTTTATTGTTACTTAAATCTTCAATAAATCAAACAAATACTTCAAGGCTTTGAATCAACTGGTGGCTTGCTTAAAACTTGTCCACAAGGGACAGGCAATTTTCTTCATAAATTGTTTCTTCCTTCTACAAGGGAAATCCTTGACCCCTCCCTGGGCAAT